GTCCGTGATGACATTTGGCACTACAATTTATTAGAACGTTTCATCTGTCGCTAAATCCCTTCTTGATCTCTTTAGAGAAGACAAATTGGGTTTTAAATCTTGTGCTTTGTGCTGTGGACAGTTTCACACTGTGACTTTTCTCTCCACATTGTCTCACTGTCTGATGGAAAATGGAGTCCATAATCAGCAGAGCGTCGTCCAAAACCCCCGCCAGATCTTTTGGAAATAAGAAAATGACACCTACAGCGGTTGATAAGAAAAGACTTGGAGCATGTCTTGCAGTTGTGTCTGCCAATATCCAAGTGTTGGAAAGTATGCATCAGAAACTTTTCTGGTTTTATTTTATATCCTTCAATACTTTGACCCGACATGCTCTCATGGAAGACAGATGTGTTTCCACTTTCTCCTCTGAGCGTCCTGTGCAGATGTTTCGACTGAAATACACACTTGTTTAAAGTCTACTTCCATCTGGTGAGGAGTTATTGCAAAATAAAACGTAGACCTTGGATGGTTATCCGTTGTAACTAGAGATGTCTCGATCCGATCACGTGATCGGGGATCGGAGCCGATCACGTGATTTTCAAAAGATCGGAATCGGGAGAAAAAAATCAAGGATCGGGATTATTTTAATTTTTTTTTTAAATACTTTTTTTAAATTTTGTATTCAATGTTACAAAACAAAAATGACCATGTTCAAGTCTTAAAGTCATCCTGAGGCCTTAGTTTTGGTTTCAAATTACACAACATCATGTATGTGTTGCTTCTTTGGGGCTTGTTTTCATAGACCTGGTTGCTTATTTTTCTCAAATCTGGCAACAGAGTGGGCAGGGCGCAGTGCCTAAATGTAGCAGTAAGCTAACGAGTACTGAAAGCTTTATTTTGTTTTGATCCAATGCTGCACAACTGAACTGATCCAATGCTGCTGTGAAAGAAAGAAGCTATATCCATGTTGGATAGAATATCCAATTTAAATAAAAAAATAACCTTAAGGGACAACTTGAATGCTTTTTTTTCTTTTTTTTCTCTTAATGCATTGCATAAAGATCGGATCGGGAAAAATCGGTATCGGCAAATTGTCAAAATCAAATGATCGGATCGGGAGCAAAAAAAGGTGATCGGGACATCCCTAGATATTACTAATTCATAGTGGGGCCTGTCTTTAAATATTAGAAAGAGGAAATGTTTTTCTTTAGATCTATTGCACATTCTCTCTTTTCTATCTCGCAGTGAGTACTGATTAAGGAATCATGTCTCTTCTTTTCAGTCAAGTTTCTTTTCAGAAGAAAACTGTCCATCTCCACAGCAGAACTTTTTTCCCATTGTGGTGTGTTTGTTATTTGGCAGCACACTGTTAGCTTTGTCATTACTCTGGCTTAATTAGCTTCACCTAGAATAACTGCTGCATGGATACAGAGAAAAGCAAAGGTCTGTGTACGGGAACTATGGAGAAACTGGAGCTGGGATGCATTCAGCATATTAGTCATTTGGACATAGTAAACCACGGGCGATTGACCGGGAGGAGTGTTCCGAAAGCGCATGTTGGCTGCTATGGTTCTACTCAAATAATAGTGCCAAAACGGTGTAATTGCATGCATCAGCCTTTGTCAGCAGCATTTTTTTGTTGATGTTACAACAATAGACGCACGTGGCAACATATTGCTTGTTTTTTAAGTTTCTCTCTTGGGAAGTATTTTAAGAACTAAAGCGGAATCAAATGTGCTTATGCTGACTGTATTGATTGCACAGTTCCCAGTTCACAGTGTCCCTTCATTATTCTTTCTGGAAGTGTTGTCTACATTGCAGAAAATAGTTGCGAGTCAGAGTACAGTCATGGAAGACCTGTTTGTCATATACAGTACAGCTAGAATCAATAGCAACACACATTGTTTTTACTTTTCTTCTTAAAGCTATATTGTCTCATCATGATCCCTCATACCAGTGTCATGTGCAGTCACATTTGTACCATTCATCCACACGTTTCTTTTACAAGCAGATGAGTCTGCGTTGTCAGGTCTGTTTTTTATAAAATATTTGATCAATAATGAGAGCAGGAAGTCGGATATGACCGCGTAGGCTTTACGAGTTAAAGGGCAAACTTAATCCTGTCGGGTGCTAATCAGGCGCACCATATGGCCGCATGAAATATGAATAGCAAAACTGCATTGAATCGTTTGAGTTTAATTGTCACTTTGCTGACATTTCATCCAAGGCAACTGCTTTTTTTGCTCAGTCTCCCACCTTCTCACAGGGTAAAGGAGATAAGTAAAGTCTTACGCTGGCTCAAAGATTATATTTAACTAGATTTAAGATGATATTTAATTCTGTTGTGTATAAAACTACCCAGGGTCCTCAACATAGTTTTCTTGCATTTTCATTCTTTTCTAATACACCCCATCCATCAAAGATGTTTTAAGATTAAATCCTTTTCAGCAATTTTATAAAGAGCTTACGGTGCTGTTTTGCAATGCTTTATATTTTCTAGCAAGTATAGCAGCACTGTTGGGACTTAAATAATAATTTAAGTTCTTCTGCTCAATATTCAAGCTAAACTTGTTTTATATTGAATCCATATCAAGCAACATATTTACATTGACAGGAAACTACCTTCCCATGAACAGTGTGGTTAGACTTTATAACACTCTAAATAAAAAGTCATGTTTCCTGTTGTAACACTGGTGCTTTTTTCCACACTTACTTTGCGTTCCAGTTGGATTTCCCAGGTCACTATAGGCTAGACTGAGAGATTGTTTTAAACAAGGCTTTGCTCCTGAGCGTTTGATCCTCCTGGTAGACTGCTGGCAAAGAAAGATTCCTGCAAGTCCGCCCATTCACCTTAATGGGATTTTAAAGCTCATAACCTTGTCAGAGGCTGTGACCCTGACAGGATTCCACTGCATCGTGTTTACTGATTCCTGTAGATTCATTATGAAGTCACTGAATGCAGCATGGTAGTAGTATAGTAGTTCAACCGGTCATTGTTTTATGCATGCTAGGGAGAAATCTTGTTTTGATGTACTGCAGCTGATCTTGTCATGGTGTCTCACTCTGGCTCTACTTTGCCTGTAAACATGCCATGTCTGGCAACTACAAACATGGGCCTGCTGACCTCATCAGTTTTGTGGTCAGGCCTGAACAAAAGACCTGTTTAGCTCTGCGAAAAGTGCAACAAAGGATGACAGCCATGCACAGAGGTCACTGAGGTTGATGAATGTAGCACAGGGTCATTATTGGAATCGAATAGGCTGCAGAGTTGCGAAAGTAGCAAATGGTATTCTGATGAACCTCAGTGGGATCATGTGAATGTTAGAACACTTTGTCTGTTAATCTGCCTGTGCCAGTAGAACAAGGGGACTTATTCTAGAGCAGGTGTTCAACTTGATGGAACATGTGGACAGGTTTACCCCAGCCTTTTGTTTCCTGGTGTCATCAAAGGGCAAGCTCTTTTATTTTATTTCCTCATTCAAGCCTCGTTTTTTTGTCCCATATTTCTCAATAGGAAACATACACAACTTGCTAACACTCCCTCCTTCATCATCAGAGAAAAGTCGTCTACCGAACCACCCACTCAGAGTACTGGTCAAACCTCTGATTCACTCTTCACAGACAT